GGGGTGGAGTCTAAATGAAAGATATTATGGTGGTGGATAAATATAGGAATTTCCGTCATATACGAGAGGGTGTTGAGTACAACCAGATATAGAAAAGTTCTAGAAACAGGTATCAAAGAGCTAACAATAAGCCAGGTATTAGTGACAGAAAAACCTCATTTATACTACCAGGAATTATTGAATTTATCACGTACATTTTGTCTGTATGACAATGAAATTATTCACAAAATATTGTAAAACCAAATAATAAAAGAAAGGAATTTATGACCTAAAATGCTTGAAGAAATGTTTGAAGTTGAACTGAACAAAGAAATTTGAAATGTAAATAAAGTAAATAATAACCCTAGATCCAACTAAATGGAAAAGTTTTTGAATAAAAATAATTGTAAAAATACAGATAATTATTAGCACTAAACAAATTAGATAAACATTATTTTGAAAAGTATTGGATATATTAAACGTATACCAACTGGGAAAGACTCCTACGCAAAGTTTCGATCAAGAAGAAAAATGAATAAAGCAATTACATACTCGAAGAGAGTTGTTTACTGTGAAATTTAAGATTGTGGATTCGCAATGAGTCAGTTTGACCTTTGCTGACGTACGTTTCGTCCCATTACACGTGGTTTCTTCAAATTTCAGAACACGCCGCGAGGGTGTGACAACAGCAACAATTTTTCCTCATTAAACTGGGGTAATTTATAGTGGACAAAAATTAAGAAAGAATTTTCACATTAATATTTCATATTAGCCACTATTGAGTTACAAAGTGTGAATTTCTTAAAACAGAAAACCATTAAAGGAAGTTAAGGATAAAAATTAGAAAGAGGAGACTGTGGTAAATATTAATTAAAAATTAAAGGGAATACTCACCCCTAATTACCTCAAATAATTTTATTTGAGCGGACACGTGTTTCGCCCACTTCATACGTGGGCATTATTAGTACAGTTTCGCGTTGATAATGCCCACGTATGAAGTGGACGAAACACGTGTCCGCTCAAATAAAATTATTTGTGGTAATTAGGGGTGAGTATTCCTTTTAATTTTAAATGAAGTTAAGGATAGGTATCCTGTTACGAAGCGTGGCTGGCTTGGCGAAAGGAAACTAAAAACTTATGTATCTTCCGCCCAGCGTTGCCAGGTTCAGTAGATAGAATTGTCGCACTCTTTAGGAAAAATTATCGTATTAACATCAAAAATATCGTACGTTATTGCGCATGCGCATCGGAATAATAGTCTAGTGGTGGGAGTATGAATTTGTAAAGAGAGTCTGTGTACCCCAGTGGTTTTCCCAGTTCTGTTATACCATCAATAGATGACACTATAAAAACTTTCCTGACAGGCTAATAACTTCAAATAGAAAAATGAATTTTAGACTGGATTTTAAACATTTTGGAAGAAAGTTCTTTTTTTAGTCTATAAACAATTAAATTTTATTGAATGTATACAAATAAACAACTTTTC